GTAACCAAACGCATAATTAATCCCAAATGACTAAATTACAACTATTCACTCAAACTAAATGATAAAGTAATCACATTAATATGAAGCAGAAAATACATGTTTTCATAAAAATGAAGGAAATTGTGTTCCATTGCTAAAACATGTACACTTGGGGAATATAATTAAAATTCTAATGATATGCAATCGTCTTTCACTTTAATTTTTTTCTAAAAAATGTTTCTTTTTTGGGTGTTTAATTACCAAATATGTGAAATCTCACTTTTGGACCTCCTCCAAGCATATGTTGGTGTTGTTATGTAAAAAAAAGTACATCCTAAACAAAAAAACTATATCACTCCAAAAGTCTCATTTGTTGTAAACAAGAGAAAGTCAAGATATTGTCGCTAAACATCCCATCAATTCCTTAAGGCTTTGTTAGAGTAAAATAGCAAAGTGGACAAGCATTTTGATTTTCGGGAGTAAGTAAGAATTTATATTGATATTTTTATTTTAGTTTTATAGGTGGCATCATTTGTCACAATTTGAATGGTTGGCATGAAATATATGTGTTTTCAATTTGGAGATAAATGTACCATTGATTGGAATTCTGCTACCACAAGAATGTCTAATTCTACATTTTCTCGGTTTTTCATACATCAAAGTAGAAAGATGTTGAAAATCGACTCATTCCAATCATTACATATGATAATTTGAACTCTCTATGTGGAACTATTATAATCGAGTATAATAAGAAAATTTTATAATTTCATAATATCTTGCTCCTAACATCTAGATACACCAAAGATAAAACTAATAAGAAGTCATATACAACTTTCGAAGTTAAAACTATTGGTTAGTCAAAGATTAGATGGTCGTAATGTGAACATCCAACTTATGATATAGTCGCGACTCTTATTATTTTATTAATCGAGATTTGGATAAACTATAGCCAAACATTAAATATAAAGAATTAGCAACCTAATAACATTTAAGAAAAATGACAAATAAGAAGGGAAAAAAATGAATACATAGCCCATCGGACGGGCACAATACTAGTTCTCAATGTACATGATAAAAATGAGTAGTAATTCATGAATATGCCAACTTTCTAGGCTATGTCGTATAAGAGATAGCGTGATTTGACTTCTATAACAAGCTAATACACACAATTGCTAAGTCTGATTGAAGGTAAATTTTATGAAAATCCATATTATAGGTCGAAATCCCCGTACATTACTATGAGTTGAATATATGTGATATATTCTTCCACCGCTCCAAGGAGAGCGGTAACGAGTATTGATCTTCAATTGTGATCTCAAATGACACTCTCGTTGAGCCAGTGCATATAGCAACCATCAATCAAGCCATTTCAACAATAATGTACAGTGAACCATGGGTTGGGATACTAAAATGCTCAATATGGATGACACTCTCACCCAACATTCAACAACATGAGAACAAGAGACTCATCTAAAGTTGTAATTCAACAATGAATCTTTTTTAAGTTTGCAAGGATATTGTTATGCCGATGGAGCCATATGAATATCCAAACACATTCACTTCCATATAGTTTGCCTAAGTGAATGATTATTATCATTAAGGTACAATATGTTCGAAACCAACCCAATAAAACATAAATCACAGTATTCTCCAATAACTTTATTTGCTTTTGACAAAAGAATTATATTATAATCGGTAGAAGTCTATATTAATCTTTTTCATTTGAAATTCCAATAATCCAATTCGCCCTTCCCTTCTTGTTAATTGTTATTGGATAAACCATTACATTAATTATTGAATAATTTAACGGATAATCTATTTTAGATTTATAGATTACTAGTTTTCATTGCCCACGCTCTGCGCTGGGATTAGTGGTATATGGGTGGTATTACATTTTGTTGTTTTATGTGATCATACAATATTTATCACTACAAAGCACTTCTACTATGATTCAAATACTCTAAGTTTGCGGTCCTTGTCGGGACTTGTTTGAATAAACAAAATAGCATGGTTCTCTTCAACATAGCACTTGTTTGAATAAACGAAATCTATAGGGTATTCTATTTGACATATCACATATAGTATCGTCAGGAATGTGAATCTAAAGCAAGACTCTGCAAGTTCAGTGATATACAATTTAAAAATCTCACTAATGATCGGGCAGGGTTTCTTTTCTGGAGAAACTTTAAAAGGAACTTAGAGGGAACAAATAGTAATTAGTTGAGTGGTCAAAATAATGTATCAAATTTGCTATTGTACATCATTATCTCGAAAGAAAATGCTGTCACTTCTTACACATTGGATATATTATACACCAATTAAGAATAAACAGAGGTACTAAATGTACAATTCATTAGACCAACAATCAACAATTTTTGGTCACTAAGCAAATATCTATACCAGGAATCAAACGACGAAAGAGCATATAGTGTATGCCTGAGTTTGACTAATACTTGCTCGTGTGACACTGATTAACACCTGAAGGAATAACATCCATATATTGCTCGTCCTTACGAATTTATAAGTCCATATTTGCAACAAAAATCAATAACCTCCATAAGATGAGAAAGAAAACAATTGACTAACGTTTCATGATCCTGTGCACTGTCAAACACCATCAATTTCGTTCACCTAAAATGACGCACAAATCAAAGGAATTAACAATAAGAAAATCGCCCTTGATGATAAACAATGGGGCTAAATTGGATCTAGAAACCAAAGTAACCAACCACGGAAGCATGGAAGTTGCTTGAGCAACTGAGAAAATTATTACCACATAAGTAAAAACCAAGGCAATAAAAAATAATTTCAAAGATATACAGAGTTGCACAACAGTTCATTTCAAGAAGGTTTAAATGTATAGGACGGTTTTCAATTCTGAAACCAGGATCGCTCTCAAATGGCATGGAGATAACATTGTAATGGAACAGAGGGGAAGAGGAGCAAACTAAGAGGAAAGGGTCATAGGAATGGTTCACCATCGTGGTCGCGACACTATCCACAAGAAACTGGGATTAGAAAATGCTTCCCTCTATGCATCTCTTCTAAGCAGCCACTTGATCAAACTTGAGATCGACTAATCTCCATTAATCTTACCACACCTAAATGAAACTCTTTCGTCATTGCTTTACCATTAAGATTACTATTGTCCATATCCTGCAATGCAACATCCAAGCATAATTTGGATGAAGAGGAAAAAACCAATAAACCATAAAGGAAGGAGGAATCTTTTCCCAACATCGGCCAACCGTGAATGAGCATTGCAAGCACACTGCAGTGAGGAATGTAAGAGATTCAAAATGTTCAGCCGGCACAGAACAAACAACTAACCAATTGTAGTCACCTGCAGTGGAAACAGAGAAAATTTTAAAATTGACTAACACAATGGGGTGAGAAAGTGAAATGGGTCTAACTGGCTCTTCATTGGAATTCAATGTAAGCCTCTCTGAGGGTGAACTCGTTGTCAGCATCTCCTCTGAGAAGCTAAACAAATTCATCATTAGAGGAAAGAGAGAACGAACGCATCCCATAAAAAGAGCAAAATAGTTCATAAAAGAAAGAGAGAACAAACTGTAAAAAGAAGATGGAGAGACCAAAACCTCAAGATCTGAATATCCTCTGAATCGTATCTCGACCGACACAAAAGTATTAAGAGATCAGCCAGCTCCTCGAACGACGATGAGAATCCCTCTCGTCTTTGTTGTTGTCGTATGGCGCGCATTGTCTGGATTATCTGCTCTAGTTTCTGATCGCACCCTCGTAATTGAGAGAGGAGAGGGAAAGAGAAGGGGATGAGAAAAATGAAAGTCCATTTCTGTTGACTTGATTGTTGCTCAAAGAAACTGAGGGGAGAAAAAGAGCACTTGCAAGAGGGATTTCTCTTCTATTGTACAGAGAACTGCGCCGGGTAGGTTAAATAGGTGGCCCAATGATAGACCATTGATTACACATGTTTTTATCACTATTCTTGAGCCGTTTGAGATGTTGATTCTCGCGTTTTAGGCTGATTTCACGCTAGATTGTTCTTATTTGTGATATTTCAGGTCCTAGTACGTGAATGAAGGCTTGGGAACGAGTTCGGGGTCGATTGGACGAAGATTGGACGTTTGGCGGGAAGCTGATGGAGCTACACGGGCACGCCTAAAACCTACACGGCCGTGTGACCTGGCCGTGTGACATCGAATTGCACGGTAAAAATCACACGTGCCGTGTAGGGGACCCCTTGTGGCCGTGTGGAAATTCCAGGGAACTCACACGGGCATCCTGGAAATCCACACGGCCGTGTGGGTCTGGCCGTGTAGGAAGCCTGAAGTCACTTAACGAAACGCCGTGTTTTGCAAAGCCACACGGGCAGCTGGGAAAGGCACACGGCCGTGTGAGTCGGGAATTTCTGGGTTTTAACCCAATTTCCAGCCAAAGGAGGGGGGTTTCGAGTTTTAGAGAGAAAGAGCGATACCTAGAGAGAGAAAGTGACGAAGCTGATCCTGCAAGTGTCATAGATCGACCTCCATCACCATTGGAGCCCGGCTTGAGCTTGGAGAAGACCTGATTGAATGCCAGAAGCAAATTCCCATCCTTCGCAGTATGGTTTCCGCATCTGAGCTAGATTTTCCATCTCTCTCTATGGAGTAACTTCCTTATTCACCTGGGTATGAAGAACCCTAGATTTGTATGTTAGGTCTGATTGTATGAACCCAAGTACAGATTCTGTGATATGATTATATTCAATTGAGGTTTGATTTATTGAATGGCATGAATCCTCATCAAATACCTGTTGTTTCTACTTTAACCTAGAAAGAGAATATCTGCCTAGATTGATAGAGCACCCTTGATTGAAAGCAGTGTAGTCAAAATCGCGATTTAAAGCTTAAAATTGTACGATTTTACGTTTCTAGGGTAGGAAAACGTTTCAAATCACTAATAAAATCGTTTTTTCACTCAAAATCGGTCAAAATCGTTAGTAGAATCGTTAAAATTGGTGAAATCGTATAAAATCGCGTTTTCAAACCGATTTTATCCGATTTCAAGCAAAGGAGAAAACTGCCTCCACCAAACCAAAACGACGCCGTTTTGTGCACTTCAGAGAAAAAAATGAAGGAAATAGGGTGGATATCGGGACGAGGCTATCAAACTTTTCCAAAATCCCTAATCGTTGTCTCCAGTCTCCAGCACTCCAATGAGGCAGGCCTGCCGCCCCCTCCTTACTCGTCATCGCCTGTCGCCGCCATCGCGAGGCAGGCCTTCCAGGCTCTAGCGAAGAATCTGCAGCTGCTACAAGGCTTTCAACCGTTGCCGCCAGTCCACCACCTTCCAGCGAAGAATTTGCAGCTACTATAATGCTCCAAGCCTCCAACACGGCAGCGTCTGTCGCTTATCGCCCATCGGACTCGTCATCGCCTGTTGCCACTCGCCGACGACACAACTGGTTAGTTTCTGTCTCTTCCTTTTCCTAGCCCATCTCCACTTCAGTCTTCACTAATTTGAGTAGTTGTGGTTCATTGTACATCAGTAACTATGAAGATTCGTCGTCTACTCAATGAAGGGGAAAGCAATTGTTTTTATTAGCTCCTATGACAAAGAGTTGGATTGTACGATTAATTAATATAGAGGCGGAGGCGGAAACAACGGTGGCTGTTGTAGTGGTGGGAGATCGATGGATCGAAGAGTACAGCGGAAGAGCCATGTGGTCATTGCTCGATAATAGTTTGCTTTAATTTAGACATGAATTGCGGGTATTTATTCTTTTATCTAAACTCTGTGAACTCATATTTTACATAGTTTATTCCGTATTTAACAAATTTTTAACTATTATACAGGATGCATAAAAACTTACGCTTTTACGCTTTGATTCACCGATTTTCGATTTTACCCATTTTACGCTTTTAGGTAGAATCGCGCTTTTGACGGCATTGATTGAAAGTAGTGAATTGACGACTTTAGTCGAGAAGTCAATTCACTATTCTGTACTGAATTCACTTCGATAGTGGAGGTTTGGTTCGTTAGGGCCTCAATCTGTTTACTCCGGTGGAGGTTAGTCGCCCGCTAGAGACTCAGATTGAGAGGGTCTGGAGACCTTTTGTCGAGAATTCAGACTGTTTAAGAACCTCCCGCAGTATAACTATCATTGAAATTGAACTTGGTAAATTACAATCCGGCTTAACTGCAGTCTAGGGGGAACCATATCCGGGTGACCTCTCTCGACTTGAAAACAACCTTTTTACTTGCTTTGCTTGTTTGCTTGTTTGGATCTTCATTAAAGTTTCACTGCTAAATAATAAGAACTCACAGAGTAGTAATCACATCTAGGACCCGGGTTGACATTAAAACCCGAACCCGCTATACTACGCTTTAGGAGGTGGTTACACATGGCCATTTTCTAGAGTGACGGTAAGAGCGAGTCACCCAAAGTAAAGGAGCTATGTGGTGTTTAAATCCACCAAACAAACCAATCTCCTCAAGCATCTCTGCTTTAGTTCGTGTCTCATCCATATCTCTGGTACAGTAAACTTGATTGAGCCCCTCCAATCAATGGTCCTATCAAGCCAAAAGTGGACCCTAAAATAGCAGTGTCTTTCTCCCTAGTCCCAGAGCGATCAATGCGTGTGAGGGGTAAGGAGAGAATAACTAACCAGAAGGCAAACCGCAGTTCCAACGCAAATGAGCCGCCAAGATTTCGTTGGGAACGAAACAGAGACACCATTAGAGGTGGCAATTAGGATCCAAATCCATGAATCCAATCCAATCCATCCACCAAATTATCCACCTAATCCAATCCATTTAAATCCAATCCATTTGATCCAAATCCAATTGGATTGGTGGATTCATGGATCAATCCATGGATCCAAATGGCAAATTACGATTTGGTACCTATATTTTTTATATTTTACATTTTGGTACCTAAAATTTATATTTTTATACGAAAAATATCATTGGAAAATTACATTTTGGTACCTAAAATTTTTCATCATGACATTTTAGTATCTAAACTTTTCAAAATTTACATTTTGGTCCAAGCCTTGAATGTCATTTGGATTCATGGATCAATCCACCAATCCATTTGATCCAATCCATGAATCCACCAATCCATTGGATCCAATCCATTTGATCCATGAATCCACCAATCCAATCCACGAATCCACGAATCCGATCCAATTGCCACCTCTAGACATCATGCACCCTCCCATACTTGAGTCGCATCCGAGTTGTAATAGTAAATATGAGTCACAATGTGCAGTGTTTTATGACAGTAAATGGCCCTTAGAGCATCTCCATCGGTTTGACTCTCCCCACTTTCATTCCTACGTGGCCCAAGTTTGCAATTTCATTTGCCCATTGCACCCATATGAGTGGCAATTGCAAAAATGGAAACTTTCATCTAGTGAAAGTGGGATTGCAAGCCACGGTGGAATTTGTGCTATAATTTTTTTTTCTTGTTTTGATTTCAATGCCCACTTTTGGCTGCATGTGCCATAGATTTAATTCTTATTGGAATTTTTTTGTATAATTTCCATGGACCATGTGTTAAATTAGTATTATTTTAATTTTTGTATCAATGGGAGTAAATAGCATCATATACTAATTTTATTAATTATAATAAAATATAAATAATAATATAAATGTAAAATTAAATTTTTATTACTTTAATTTCATATCTACAAATATCAAAATTATTATTTTATTTACTTGCAATGTGGATAAAAAGGTATTTAAATTTTTTTTTTTAATGCATTAAAAAAATTTAGGCCTCATATGCAATTGCAAGTTAATTGCACCAATGTAGGTACAATGAAAGTAAAGTGAGTTGGCTTGCAAAAATTGTGTTGTGTCAAAAAAATCACAAATGCAATTGCACCAATGGAGATGCTCTTAGTGGGTTTTTTTTTTTCAATAACGAGGTAACTATGGATTTCTTTTAAGTTTCTTTGATTTTTACTTATTTTGTTTTATGTTACAGCAACCGGGCCACAACAGCTTCAACATAGCCCGCCCGCTCGCTGGTCGCAACCCATTCCATTTCCGGACGGGCTCTCTCTCTCTTCCCACCGTCCATTTTCAACAACTGCTGAGCAGCAGAAGAAGAAGAGAATACTCTTTTACCAAACCAAGCAATCCGGAACTCGATTGACTTCGTTTGCAACCGCCGTCCTCTGCCTCCTCCGCCGTCGCCGGAAAGAAACCGAAACCCTCCCTTCCCGATCGTGACCCGAGCCGAGCTGCTTCCACTCTTTGAGGTGCTTCCTTTCCATCACTCTTTCCGCCCCTTCTCTCTCACTGTCTTCGTTTTCCATCTCCTGAGATCAACCTGTAACGAAAGCATTTCTCCTCCCTAGACTGAATTCCGACTCCACGATTTCAATTCCCCAATTCCAAGCCACCGCCGGGGTTGATCTGATTGATTCTCCGATCATTTCCATCTCACCTCCTCCCACCCCAGCAGTTCTTAACCTGGATTTCCTCCTCCCGTATTACTGCCTCTTTCTACTGATTGTTCTGGAAACACTCTCACCGCAGTTTGTTCGGAAATGCAACTTTTGGCCAAGGGTAATGCCGCCGCTTCAGCCGTAAGCAACCCGACGTCTAACCAGCATCACCATCACCAGTCCCTCAGGAGGCTGGGGTTCTGCTCTCAGTTAGCTGCCGGCGGGGCCCAGCACTCTTCCCCCATTGTTTTCCCCGAAAAGCGCAGCAAAAAGGTCAGGTCATCTTCCTCCAAGCGGATTGAGCTCACCAGCGATCAACCTTTTGAGAACCCTAGCCGGGATGAAGTGAGAATCGACATCGGAGGTGGAATACCCGCCGCGGGGGACGAGAAGTCTGATTTGTTGGGGGATGTTGTTATCTCCGGCAAGCTCGTTTGGGACAAGAGGAAGACCTCTCCGACCCCTGATGCACCCAATGGAAGTCCTGCTAACCAAGCTTCTCCCGATGTTCCTAAACAGGAGCCAGTGGATGCTAAGCTTACTAGCAAGGCCTTACTCTGTGGTTCCACTGTGTTGCATCTTGACGATATCATCTCGGTAAGTTTCCGTCCTCAATTGCCATTCCACCCATCTGTGGACGTCATGAACCATCTGCTTCAACCTACTTGATCATAGGATAGAAGAATGATGTCTTCTGGGTTTTTTAGGTAACATATAATGCTGGTCTCAGGCATTTCACTGTCCATTCGTATCCCATAAAGAAGGGCTCTTGTGGTCTGTCTTGTTTCATCAAACCCAAAAGAAGTCGCAAAGACTATCGTTTCTTAGCCTCGACTGTGGAAGATGCAGTACAGTGGGTTGGTGGATTTGCAGATCTGCAATGCTATGTGAATTGCTTGCCTCACCCTTTGGCTTCTTCCAAGAAGCAAGCTTCTTCAGAGTTACTTCCCATTGACCCTCCTCCTGAGTTGCTATTTAAGTGTAAGAATCCACCTAAAATGCTGGTCATCCTGAATCCACGTTCTGGACGTGGCCGTTCCACCAAAGTTTTCCATGGCATTGTGGAACCTATATTTAAGGTGTGTCTTCTACACCTCACTCTTAACTAGAATACACCATTTCTTCATGTATTGAATGTCTATGGCAACTCAAGGATTGTGGAAGGTCCAATGCATTCGTTATAACTTATATGTGAGATATACTGCGTAAGAACTGTAAATAGCAGTCAGCTATATTCTCGGAATGCAGGGAGTTCTCCTGCCACCGATATTCTGATTATAACTTTCCTACAGTTTGTGTATGCTGCATCAGCTTTGCTCATGTGGCTGTTAATATTAGTTACCCACCATTGGTTGTGATGAAGTGCCTTGAGATCAATAGCTTGCCTATGAAAATGATTTTGCCTATGTTACGACTTACGAGTTGAAGAACTGAAAGCGAGCACTGGGGAACATCTTTTTCGTGACAAACATATTTAGCTCTTTGTATGTTGTAGGGAGTTTCCTCTTTCCCCGGTGCAAGTTATGGTTCTTTTAACTGTCATTCATGTGAAGTTAGAAATAGCTGAGCATCGCTTTTCATGTCTGTCACATCAATAATTTAAAGTGTGTGCTGTGACAGCTTGCAGGGTTTAAGTTGGAGGTAGTCAAAACTACATCAGCTGGTCATGCTAAAAGTCTTGCATCTACTGTTGACATCAGCACATGTCCTGATGGTATGTTTCTCGATGAACATTATAATGAGTGTTCTTGTTCTTCTCTTTTTGCTGGTTCCCAATGAGTATCATATATGATGATTTTTCACCATTGCCTGTTACATTTGAACTTCCCCCCTTGTTTCAGGAATTATATGCGTGGGTGGTGATGGAATTATCAACGAGGTAAGGTTTCTACTCTCAATTGGATTCCCTTTTCTTTTGCGTTAGTTCATGCTGTGCACCTGGCCACGTTTTATTTTCCCTAGTGGCACTAATGAATGGTTCCATTGATACTATATTTGCCTGTATCTTCTGCCGAGTGCATTATTTAATGCACGTCTATCGGAAAGCTTTATGGCGCAGACCACAAGAGGCACATCTGTTATTTCAGATCCATAAATGTCCCTGTTTGGCTTCCACCCAGTCTTATTTGCGCAGGTTGGAGGAGAGAGAGGGGGGGGGGGGGTAAAATGAAATATGACGAGCTCTTTTATGTTGTTCTGTATGGGGAAAGGTTTTTAAGTTCTATTTGATGCCAGGCTCTTCAACTTGAAGAGCTCTTGGGACACTTTGGTGGGTTGGCGGTAGGAGGGCGCATAGATATGTGCATTTAGTAATTACTTTTTTAGGAAGAAATGTTTTTTGTGGAAATAAACCCAATTAAGACGACCTTTCTCTACGTGCTTTTCTTTTGTTGACACTGCATGTCAAACAGTGTACATTTATGCCCGCAGCTGTATTATCCGTTTTTTAGTTTTGGAGACATATACTGTCTGAGTTCTTTCTCACAGCTATATGGGATTTCAGCTGCATACTTACTAGATTTAAAGTAATGATACACATTGAATGAGTGTATGTTGAATGCATGCTGTGTCGGTGCATACATGTGTATCGTAGCTCCTCTATCATTTAGTTAGTATTAAGTAGTAGCAGGAAACTGTCGATGCTTCTTTTCTTGATGATTAACAAGTTAATTAATGCAATTAGTCAGGTCCTGAATGGTTTGCTCTGTAGAGATAACCAGAAGGAAGGAATCTCCATTCCAATTGGTATTATACCGGCTGGCTCTGATAATTCCCTTGTATGGACTGTTCTTGGAGTACGTGATCCTATTTCTGCTGCCATGGGTATCATCAAGGTAAGTTCATAGTGAAGCGGGTAGTTATTTTGAATTCTAGTTATCAGAAAATACCAATGCTTTCATAAATTTTCGTAGTCCATGGACCATCTGTGGGGTGAATAAAATTTGAATATCTCAAATGGCATTGAAGGTTTTTGACTTACTATGCTTATCTTTCTGTTCAGGGAGGTCTAACTGCCACGGATGTTTTTGCTGTTGAATGGATTCAGACCGGTATTATGCACTTCGGGATGACTGTCTCATATTATGGTTTTGTAAGTGACGGTAAGTTGACCAAGTACTATCTCTCTTATCGGACAATGCTGTTTTATGAGTTGAATTTCTGCCTCAGAGCACTCTGGTAGAATATAGCCACTCGTTTTTCCCGTGAATTTTGTGTATGAGAATACATGACCTGGAAAAGTTTTAAGTCTAAAGAAGTCCTTCCATACAGAAGCTTGTCTGCACTAAAATCGTAAAAAAGAACTTGATGCTTATCTTCAGCCAGAGAAATATCAGATTTTACTCATTGATTTGAGTCTTGTATTATGATGGTGCAAATGAGAATGTTTTTTATGCTGAAGTGCTGATCTGGATTTGCCTCTGCATGTGTTTTCTTGTACTCCTTTTTGGCTCCAGTTACTAGGAGATTCTGCCAGCCCAAATAGATATGGTCTAATAGCACTCATGTGTAGATTGTGGAGTTCGGTGAAAAGAGTGCCTAAAGTTTAATTTGTTCTTGCACTTATGAATTATCTTGGCGTGTTGCAGTGTTGGAACTCTCTGAGAAATATCAGAAACGCTTTGGTCCGTTGCGTTATTTTGTTGCTGGGTTTCTGAAGTTTTTGTGTTTGCCAAAGTACAACTATGAAGTAGAATATCTTCCAGCATCCACAACAGAAGATCAAGGAAATCGTCTTGGTGATAGAGAAGTAGTGGACATGGCTGATCTGTATACAGATGTTATGAGGAGGTCAAACACAGACGGTGGCATTCCTCGAGCCTCTAGTTTATCAAGCATTGACTCGATAATGACTCCAAGTCGGGTTTCTGGAGACTTGGATACCACCTGCAGTAGTACTCGTGCCAGCACCGAACCATCGGAATATGTACGTGGCCTCGATCCCAAAACCAAACGCCTGTCATCTGGGAGAAATAATACCACAACAGAACCAGAACCAGAAGTGATTCATCCTCAAATGCCACTCTCTACAACGCCCAACTGGCCACGGACTCGGTCAAAGTCAAGAACAGACAAAGGGTGGTCTGGAACAATTTCCACACAAGATAACTCTAGGTGCTCCTGGGGGAATAATGCTACAAACGACAGAGAAGACATATCTTCAACTTTGTCTGATCCAGGTCCAATTTGGGATGCCGAGCCAAAGTGGGATGGTGAAGCGAATTGGGGGGTGGACAATCCTATTGAGTTGCCGGGACCTGTTGATGATCTAGAGGGTGGAATGAGGAAGGAAGTGATGGTCCCCAGATTTGAAGAGAAGTGGGAATTCAGGAAAGGACAGTTCCTTGGGATCCTAGTGTGCAATCATGCTTGCAGAACAGTGCAGAGTTCTCAGGTGGTAGCACCTAAGGCAGAGCCTGACGATAGTACCCTAGATTTGATATTGGTTCATGGCAGCGGGCGGCTGAGGCTATTGAGGTTTTTCTCACTGTTGCAGATGGGCCGAGGCGGACATCTTTCACTGCCATACGTGGAATACATAAAGGTACGCGGTGCATCTTATGCTATTTGAGAATGCTGACCCAAGCATGATTCTTTTGGTGCTTTCCTTTAGGAAAGAGGAGAGTGAAACATTGTTTTGGGTTGGTGAGGTGGGGGTGAGAGTGTGTTCTGCATTCATGCAACAGAGGGTGTTGAACTTACTGCTAATGCAGCGGATCCCATATGTCTTCCGAAGTTAAACGTGCTTGGTAAGAGTAGTTATAGGAATTTGATTAGACTGACTCATACTGTGGTGTTGTATGACAATGACAGGTGAAGTCGGTGAAGATAAAGTCTGGGAAGCAGAGTCACAGTGGATGTGGGATCGATGGAGAGCTTTTCGCATTGAACGGGCAAGTAATGTCGTCGTTGTTGCCGGAACAGTGCCGGCTGATTGGTCGGCGGGGGACATATGAAAAGTCATGATGAGGGTTAGTTAGTCCGAATGATAAACTTGGTCGTCCTGTTGTTGTTGTGAAGGTTCCCTTCCTGGCGGTGAGGCGGGGCCAGGGGCTGGTGTAAGAGATGAGTGAGTTGGCGTGGCTAACTGAGCTGAAGGAAAGTTTATATATGAGAATCTGGTGTATACGTGAAAGTGCCATTTTGCTGTTGTTAGGGTTGTTGACACTTGTGTTCATGCGAGCGAGAGAGTGCTGGTTGTGCATGTCTGGTGAGGTGAGGGATTGGAACTGAATTGATAGGTTGGTAGGAAGGAAGGAAGGAAGGGAGGAAGGAAGGAAGGGTACATTGTTGGTTACTAATAATAATGAGGCTTAGGCTGGGAGGGTTTCAGGCAGAGAGGCAGTTGAGTTTTTGCATTATCGTCCTTGGGATTGTTGTCTGTAAAATTGATTTGGGTTGGTGAGTTGGGTGTACGAATAAGCAGAGAAGAATATTTGATTGATGCACAGAAGTCGGGATGTCTTAACTCCATGTGTTGGTAATATATATACAATATAATGTGCTATTCAGGCTAACAAATTTGTCAACGAAGATGAAACGTTTATCGCTCAGATCGTGAACGCTCCAAGTATGTACTTCTTATAGATGAGATGATGTTGTAAGCTAAGCACCATAGCCGGATTGGTCCCTGCTCCGTTGCTGTTACTAGGGATGGCAATTTCGACCTGACCCGATTTACCCGACCTGTTTGACCTGTTTTGAGGCGGGGCGGGCATGGGTACCTCTCATCGACCCGACCTGTCCTGACCCGCCCCATTCTCGACACGTTCTTGCCTAAATTACATATAATATTAGTTAAATTACTTAAGATTTTCTTCTTATTACATTATATTTTAGCTATAATAAAGTTGTAAATAAGTGAAAACCTCAATTTCTTCAATAATTTAACTACATTTTATCATATTATGGTTTCTTTCTTGGTCTTTCAATGAAAAGAACGAATATTTCTAATGTTTTTCACATAAATTACATACCCAATGGGTCGACCTGCCCCGACCCTCGCCCCGTGATAAATTACCCGACCTGCCATGGGGCGGGTATGGGTATCGAGATACCCTCCCCGAAGTTGCCCCATTGCCATTCCTAGCTGTTACTAGAAATCACTGCTTGCCGAATAAGCTCATTTTTCTTGTGCTGGTCCCGCACTTTAATCGGGCCTTTGATCAGTATGCGTTTCACCATTTGGGCTGGACTTTTGGTCGAAGTCGAGTCCAAGCCCGTTATCGATGGCATCTTCCTGGTTCGTCGGTTACAAGAAGACACAACACAAATGAAATGAGCCAATCACAGCCAAAATTCCAGGCCGTGGGAAGTTGAAAGCCTGAACAAGGAAGAGATAAAGCAATGGCGGAGCCTCATCCACACACTCCTCACTTTGGGCAGCGTCCATCCGCCGAACCGAATCCCTAAAAGTTTACTCTCCACACAATCCAGGCTGCGAAAGAAAGAGCACGATCCGCCATTTTCCACAGAGATGAGTAGTTCTTGTGCATCCTCCGCCGCGGCCGTCGTCGGCCTTTTGTCTGCACCGCGCCCCACCGCTACTCTGCTACCTCCCTCGCTCGCTCTCCCTGTCACGATGACAACCGCCGCCGGCGCCAGATGGAGGAGGAGGAGGCAGCCGGTCTGCTGCGAAGTGGCGGTCCGATCGTCGAGCGATTCGGCGACGTCGTCGGAGCACAGGATCGGAGCGAGGGTGCGGGTGACGGCGCCGCTGAAGGTGTACCACGTGCCTCGCGTGCCGGAGGTGGATCTGACGGGGATGGAAGGTGTGCTGAAGCAGTACGTAGGGTTATGGAAGGACAAGACCATCTCCGCCAATCTGCCTTACAAGGTGGAGTTTCTGATTGAGGTCGAAGGCCGTAGCTCCCCCGTCAAGTTCTCCGCCCATCTCCGTGACGACGAGTTCGAGTACCTTGATTGACTCGAATTTGCGTTCAGCTGAATCGATCAGTCAGCAGGCGGCGGCGAATAGTCGACCACCGGCTTTCTGGATTGCCTGCCGCCGAATTCAATTCAGCCTGGTTGCACTACTCACGCAGGCAAATGTTCCCTCTTCGTTAACTTTTAGCCGCTGTTAACTGTATTTAACAGTTTTGAGAGTTATTACATACATACGCCTCTTCCCTTCCCTCAAAACAGAACACTGCAGAATGAACTCTGCAGCACGACAATTGAATTGTGTTAACCTGTAATAATGTCTAGTCAACTAGTCATCCAGACTCCATCGACGACCTATTTGCTTGCTTGATCATTCCCTGTCTATTCCTGGCTTTGATCATGTCTTCAGCTCTTGTGCTTCTTTGCGTATTCAGATCAACACAATTTCGCGGATTGATCTTTCTGGCTTTGATCAAGTCTTCAGCTCTAGTGCTTCTTTCCATATTCAGTTCAGCACGAAAGCAGACTGAAGAACAATACAGCAGCTGCTGCTAAGTGGTGGAGATAGTAACCAGCAATGAACTAATGATACAACCCAACGCAACCCAACGCAACAATCATCATCATCATCATTTTACATTCATTCATCCCAAGATCAACAGCTCGTCAGTTCCCACCTAAATACTTGCCATTTTGACAATAAACAATCTTATGAATTATGGTACACTGGACCATGCCTGCTACAATTCCACATTGGCAATGCTAACTACTCATACAAGAACCAAATCGAGGACTCTACCCGATGTGCTTCAGGGAAATCCAATTGAAACAACAATTTTGGGTTGCTCTTCTTCTACAAACTTATAATTCCTACTTCTCGCTGCCCAACTCAGGTCAGCCAGCCAGCCGTTGCCATTAAACAAAGTCTAATAGTACAATTGCCTCCTTCCCAAGAAAACCATTCAGCCAAAACTGCGGCTGCTACGGGGAAGGACAACCTGACAGTAAACTCGTCTGTCTTGTTTCTAACTCAAAGCTGTCGTCATCTCATAACTGACTCCTTCACGAAAGAACGGCCACCGGAGCTGCATCAAAACCAAATACAAATTGCCCCGCAGCAACTAGTCAGCGAAGATAGATAAAAGAACAGAGCTGTCTTCCAATCAATTATGTTATTTCTCACCTGTACTCGAGGTGAATATTCATGAACCGACGGTTTTCTTTACTTTGTGACAACACCAATGACCCTTCTATCACTTGATCTTGCTCCACCTCTATTGGCTCATAGAAGTATATCAATGTCTGCAACCCACCCCAACCAAAAGACATACATAAATTTCATTTAATTACCCGAGTTTCGGTACCAATTCACCAGACAAGAAAGTTAAACCATAGCCCAATTGTAATTTTTTATACATACCTGCTGCCAATGTGTTGGAGGATCCTCAGGAGCAGTAGACAGTATAAGTGTGTCATTTGGATTCGTCCTTTTCTTCTTCACGGCACCATCCAAGGAAGGAGGATTTGGTGATCCAGGTAGCAAAATTTGAGCGTTCGTGTTCAAGTTTGCAGGCCCATTAAATTCGACATCGAACCAAAATGCAAACCCATGAAATGGAGCTGAGATTTTGCCAAGTACAAGAAAAACAGACAATCAAACTACTTGAAGGCTAGATGTGGTAAGGCAACCAAAGGAAAAAACAAAAGCAAGTACAGATGCTGCAGTAGTTGTGCACCTCTCATCATTGACTTGAATTGAAACCTTGTTGTAACAGATTCTAGCTCGTAATTTTGAAGTGTATAGCAGTCCACATATTTCACCTGTAGACAGTAATACCAGGCTCTCAAGTTTACAAAGGGAAGTAACTACAAACTAGGACAACCCAAAGATGTATCTGAAAATAACTTAATAGTCAAAATCATTGAACAGCAACAGAAGCCAGGGCCATCCAAAAGCATTAAGGAAGCAAAACAACTTAAGAATGCCATGACTAAACATATACGACTAGTAGAACATCGTAGTGGGTGCTTGCTTTGACAAAAATTTAGAAGGTAGTCATAAGACTTACCACATGAGGCCATGTCAAGACATTCTCACCACTTATTGTCTCCACTGATGGCTCTTCGAATGCACACTGTTTAGCTAATGGCAACATGGCAGACACTGTAACCCCCAAACAAAACAAAACAAAAATTACTTAAGCGTGTAAGACAAAACAGTTTCCCTGAAGTTTGAGTGTCGAGCAAGTAATACTCACTGTCGATCCCATACACATTGCGCCAAAAATCAATGCTTTCCGTGTATCGATCAGGATGTGTGATAGGCGCCATATACAACTGCAACCATAATAGTTCAAAACCATCTTCCCATCATTAGCAGATGAGCAAAAAAAACGCACTACATTAAGTAAACAAATACAAACAGAATGTACAGAAAATCTAGCAGAAAACAGTGATATCACAAGGAAAAGAATTCACAGAACCCCAGAAGCATTATCCAACACTTCGAAAAACTTACCGTTGCATGTGAGGGAAGAATCAGTCCTCCACGTTTTAGCCATCGATCTCTTGCAGTAATTACACTTCCTAGCATGCTCTACAATTTCATAAATGCAAGAAAACCCCAAAACTAAGAGCAGAGCAGTTGGAGTAGCAGAGGTTCCTCTTTTGTTTTTAAGACAGAACATAAATCATAACACCCTGAAACATCATCCATTTTCCGCTACCTCGTAGAGAAGCATGTAGCCCATCCACTCTGAAACTATAACATCAACCTCCTCGTCAATTTCAACATCCTGAGAAAAAAATCGCAAGACTGTTTAGGCCAGCCAATGAAAGATGAAATAGATTGCACAGAACATAGGAATGTATATTTCGCAGTTATTTAATTCTAAATAGCTCTATGGGGCTAGTTATTCAGACAGGCTGAACTTATTCCTCATAACATGTATTATAAGTGGTAATATATTAACTTGCAGTTAGTAAATGTAATTGGAACTCAAAGGTTGCAACTAGCAAACAGATTCTTGCGCAATGAGAAAATGAGCATTAATAACCAGAACGTACCTCAACTCTCCCATGCAATACAATAATCCTGTCAGATAAATTATTTGCCTTTACAACTTCATTAGCCTGAATCAAGAATAATAAGAATTCCATTAGAAGTCATATGCTAGTAGCTAATACCTTTTAACCAAAATAGAAGGAGAAGGCAAATCAAAATATGAGCTGAACAAGCTTTATCTGACAGAATAAATATGCTGACAGCTCTTATGGTTTGAAATGAGGGGAATGAAGAAGAAAATGCAAATGATTGAGAGGATAAAATACCTGAAGAGCAATATCACTGGCATCTACAGCATATACCTGGTGAAAACCAATACACAAAAATGATGGTTACAGTTAGTTCCACTTCCAACTTCAAGCAGCTCCTTTGTGTTCGTTCAAATTTCTTTCATGCTCTTCAGTTGACCTGATAATCAACACTGCTCAAAATTAAAGAAGCCTTGACATGTACTAGCTACAAGATGACTTACCCGTTTCGCGCCAGCTTGAGCACAAAATATAGCTAGAATTCCAGTGCCACAGCCAACATCCATGACAACCTGTTGTATATCCACATTTGTCCATTCAGGAGATTGGAGAAGTACAGAAAATAATAATACAAGAATATTCCCCATATAGCCAGATACAACATTCAGTTGTAGACACGAGAAATGTCTGTGCAATACTTATAGGAAAAAGAAATCAGACACACACACAATATAACACCTTTGACGATCACAACTTACTTTGCCTTCGATATGCTTCTGGTGCTGCAAGATTGCACTCCGATAAGTATCGGTGCGTACTCTGTCCTGTAACGAATAAAAATAGTACAAGAACAAGCTTAGAAAAAATTCCAAAGAACCGAAGTTCTAATGGCTACAGGTCAACAAAATACTTCAAACTATATTCACAAGCTGAAATTAAACGACTCAAACCAGAAGAAAGCCCAGACAAGAAGTAACAACAGCATAGTAAGGACAATGAAGCACAAGCATCACCATTTCCATTGTTTAAGCATAAAGTAAACGCATAACATCCAAGAAAAAACTCCGACATTCATTCTGAACTTGCAGACAAGAGCATGAAAGCAATTTGTGCAGCTACCTCGCCTGTTCGCACTGAAGATCATGTGGGCATTGCAGCAAAAGAATAACATAGTGTGCAGGAAATGAGAGGAACAAGACGGGACAACACTCATTCCAGCTCCACATTCGGACCACCGCATAGCCAAATTTGATCAGGAAAGCTTTGAAACAGTAAAAATAATCAGGCAAAAACAAGAGGGGGACATATAACCTTGATCATCTCTTCGTGGATGCCAACATGAGCGTAAGAATGGAAGTAGGCCTTATCGAAGTCGGTACACGGAGCGAGATTCTGCTGCTCCGCCTGCTGCGACGGCGGCTGGATATTATTATCCTCGCCAAAAACCCTAAACCCATCCCCGTAATCACGCGACCTAAGTCCGCCGCCGCGGGACCCTCTTCTGACCCGCTGCCGTTGAGTCGTCGTCACAACTCGCTGGTGCTCCGGCTGTTGCTGGTCGTGGTAGCCGTTGGTGTGACCTGAACTGGGATACATGGCTGGCTCCCTTTCCCCGCCGCCGAAACGATTTTTCTTCGCTTTCCCCGGAGACTAAACCAGAAGGGCACACACAGACGCAGTCCGATCGTTTCCTCTCGTCTTTAAGGGATTAATATCCTAAACGGTCACTAAATTAATGTCAATGTAACAATACCGTCATTGATCTTTACAATACTTCAAATTGACTGCTTATATTTCTCGAATCTTAACAAAATTATCACTACCCTAATTCCTATCGAATTCCGGTTATTTGCAGAAAGCCATAAGGAGAACCGAATAGTTAAAACCCTTTCCTCTCCCAAAAACCCCAAACTCTCTCTTCTCGCCTCTCTTTCTACTCTATTCTTCTTCCGTCGTTCGTTGATCCGCCCTCCGCCGCGCCGCTCTCGGTGCCTCTGCCTGCTTTTCCCTTGCGAATTGAAATCCGAGCTAGCAGTAGCAATGGCGGGCTTTCCACCTCCCGGCGCCACAATCCTCGGAGATGCTGCCGCAGGGAAGAAGATCGATGAAGTCGGGAAGAAGAAAGTCGATTACTTTAACCTCCCTTGCCCCATTCCCTTCGAAGAACTTCAACGCGAAGCTATCAGTATAGTTCCTAATCTTCATCTTCTTACCTATTCCCCATCGTCCTCGGTTTTCGTTTCCTCGTAGCTTTTTCCCGTGTTGGTGTATTGGTTTCTATTCGCCGACTCGCCGTTCTGCTGCTTCTGGATCCGTCTCCATGCTTTCAGCTCGTTATTTGTTAACGTTTGATGCATTTGTTCTAGGTAGTCCATTGCAGCAGGGCTGAATTAGTGTATTGTTTCATGAGAATCAGGAATTGGATGTTGGTTCTTAGGTTTCGGGGCTCAGTGCAAAAAAAAAAAAATATATCAAGCTTCTAGCTTTTGAAACCTCTGAACCCAATGGTTATGCTTACTTGTTGTTCTTGATACTCTTGTGATACGGTAATAATTCCTGTGCTGCTGGTTCAACCAGTAAACTAATCTAGTGGAACTGATTTCTTATATCTATGGGCAGTGTCTTTAAAGCCTGAGCTTTTTGAGGGGATGCGTTTTGATTTCACCAAAGGGCTTAACCCCAAATTTTCGCTGAGTCACAGGTAGCTTTTGCTTCTTGTATATCTCACTTGTGTTTCCCTGAATCTTCACTTATGGATTCTGGCGGTAGTGATTTTTTAATTTGTTACTACATTCATCAGCGTTTTCATGGGTCCCATGGAACTTCCTTCTCAAGGTGCTGAAACCCTTAAGATTCCCACTGCTCATTATGAATTTGGTGCTAATTTCATCGACCCAAAGGTAGGTGACGGTTAACATGTTGAGATTCCCTTGCCCCGTTTGGTAATGGAGCTCCTTAAATATTATAATAATTGACATATGGCGTTTTCAGTTGATGCTCATTGGAAGGGTCTTGACCGATGGGAGACTAACAGCAAGAGTGAAGTGCGACTTAACTGATGATCTTAGTTTAAAAGCTAATGCTCAGGTGAATTCCGTACCGTGTTAACTGGTTATAGTCCGTTGTTTCTTATGAGTGTTTGCAAGTGAGGAACTTGCTTTTTTTCCTGCTTAACTCTTGCTCCTTTTTTGCCATCCAGCTGTCAAATGAGCCAAATATGTCTCATGGCATGGTCAACTTTGATTACAAGGTCAGGCCTTCTCTATCTCCACTTGTAATCATTAAACTACGCATTTTTCAATCCCGTACCCAATCTGTAGCTTTTTTGGGTGACATAAGTGTGGTAATTGCGGATGTCTTCTGCAAGGTGATTAGAACGAAACATATTTGTGTATTCCCTCTTAGTGATGGACATAATCACTTGTAGCCAAGTTTCTTTAGATAACATCTGAGAATGAACCAGAGCATTAGTATCCCGAGGAAAAGGACAAGTACTGGCCTTTAGTTTAAGCTACATTGCACATCAGTGGGAAATGCATCTATCATCTCATTCTTTTTTGTGTGTGTGTGTGATGCCACTTCATGCAATTCAGACCTTTTCGCTATAGCAAGCACTTTGTATATTGGTTTGCTATTATATGTATCTATATGTAGCAGTGTCGAAGCAAAGTACTGACTGCTAAATCCTGATGGTGCCTTCTTTCTCTTGTGCTGGTGCTCCCTTCTCTTACAGGGCAAAGATTACAGGACTCAACTTCAATTAGGAGATGGTTCTTTGTTTGGAGCTAGTTACATTCAGGTACTTTACCCAATTTAAGCGCTGCTTTTTCGGCCAGTTATCTTACAGTTCATTTAACCATGCACATTCTTAGGCTTTTCTCCTTTAACCTCTGCATTGTTTCTATACAGAGTATTACTCCACATTTATCCCTGGGTGGTGAAGTATTTTGGGCTGGTCAGCATCTAAAGTCTGGTGTCGGGTATGCTGCTCGGTATGAGAACGATAAAATGGTAAAGTAGCTTCCTTTTGCGTCCTTAAAAGGTTTCTGGTTCATTATTCTCAGATTGGCATGTGCCATGCATGTTCCTTTTGCTTCTTTGCTGTGGGTAAATGTGGCCCATACCATAAACTTGATTTCTTATGTTTCTGCTGCGTCACTTGTTACTCATTTGTGCTTGGTTTTGGTGTTCAGGTTGCGACAGGCCAAGTTGCTAGCACTGGGATGATTGCCATGAGCTATGTCCAGAAGGTCTCAGAGAAGGTAATCCTGGTTTCTCGTGGGAACCAAGTGGATTGTCGTCGTGTGATGTACACAACAAATCTCTTTAACTAATCCTGTTGTTATGGCGTGTAGGTCTCACTGGCAACAGATTTCATGTACAACTACCTTTCTCGAGATGTGACTGCCAGTGTTGGGTATGATTACATCCTCAGACAAGTAAGCATTCTGTGAAAACCATCCACAGCAATATAAATACCTTGTTTTGGGCGTGGAGTAGCGCTAAAGGCTGACATTTGAGTTGGACTGGTGCAGGCGCGTCTGAGAGGGAAATTAGACTCCAATGGGTGTGCTTCTGCATTCTTGGAGGAGCGGTTGAATATGGGTCTCAACTTTGTCCTGTCGGCCGAGGTATGTGGTGGCGGCGGCAGGGGTGTTTTCTCTCTTAGTTTTGGTTTTCTCAGCCTAGCTGTGAAAGTTGATACATTTGATTTGTTTTTTGGCTGTTGCAGATTGATCATAAGAAGAGTGACTACAAATTTGGATTCGGACTGACAGTAGGTTAAGTGAGTCCCGTTCCATTGTATAATTTGAGTGGAAGGACGACTTCAAGGAAGGAGTCACCGGCGGCCACCGGGCTTGTGTTTTGTTTCCCTCGGCCTTTCTACGTTAACGAAATGGAGAGGGTACTCGGATGTTAAACACTGTTCCTGTACTGTTTTTCTTTATTGGAAAAAACCGAGAGATTAGGCCGAGTGGTCATTAAGAGTAGGATTTGCTTGAGTTAAATATTTATTCCATCCGGCCCCACTCTTCTTTTTAGCAATAATTGGGTAGTTCATTATCATTATTACTAATATAATTTGTTTTATCCACCTAGGGATGTTAAGAGCTGTACTTTTTTTATTATGTCCAAATTGTTATTGATTTGGGTTATTGTTCTTAATTGGAAGTTTGAGGTTTTGCCCAACCTTGACCGTCAAGTTATCCATTTTGGAAGTTTTGTATAACTTGAATCGGTATACTGGCAGCAATCCTCTGCAAGAAGATCACCTAATTATCAAACATCAAAGCATCAATCCAGTTATTAGTCAACCAGTGTCCATTCCCTGTTGAGATCAAGTGTAGATTTAGTAGATACACGAGTGTCAAACCCCCCAACCCGAAAAAAGTGTAACAATGTTTTCTGCTGCTCCTAAAAAAACATAAATATATAGTTACGTGTGTATCAAGATTCAAGTGGGATCTCCATGCCAAAACCTTCTACTCTCCCTCTGTTCATCGATCCTCCATTCCCTGCACCACCAAACTGATATCTGACACCCGCCGAAGAGGACCCCCACCATCACCATCTCCACTTTGTGCTCTGCCCATTTCCCCCCATCCTCTCCAAACAACAAAAAATCAGTGTGAGCTTCTCCTTCTACAACTACAATCACCGGAACTCATCGTGATCATATTCTTCTTCTTCCTCTTCCGTGAAGATCGCGCTGTAAAATACATACGGGTTCTCCACCATCTCTTCCAGTGACAGTTTCCCATCCTTGTCCCCATCCGCCTGGGCAAAAGTTAAAACCAGTTCATCAAACATAACAGCTACAACTTACAGAACAGTTAAGGAAACACCAACTGTTGAGCCTATAGGATAGTTGATCACTCTGGAGAGCATATCCCTAACTAGGAACCAGGAGGATGTACAAGTACCTGTGATATTATATAATCTGCTTGTTGCTTGGCGTAGTAATGTTCTGATGGATGAAGTTTCTCAATGATGGGCAGCAATTCTTCGTCTGACAGAAACCTGTGTTCAAAGGACCAGGAGCAAATCAGCAGCTATGAAATATGGTTACAGTGAAGACCTCATTACATGGAAATGGATGAACCGTTCTTTATTCAGAGCAATAAGGGAAGAAGATTTATACCCATCGTTGTTCTTGTCTAGCTTAGCAAAAAGCACCTTTGCAGGAGCCTCCGTTGAGTCTTCAGATGGATGGGAGGTATTATGCGCTTCTTCGTCATAGTTCCTTACCAGATCGAAAAGCCCATGGAAAAATTCCTCGAAATTGACTTTCCCATCCTTGTCTGTATCTCTTTCCCTGAAAAGGAATGGCTTTAGTTTGTTGAATGAATCATGCCGGAAACCAAATCATCGAGCATAACGATAAAGCAAATATGGAAGGAAATACCATGAACACTAGCAAAAAGAATGTTACCCACTCGGATACCACAGTAAAAATAACAACTTTAATCTTTATCCCATGGTCTGTTGTCATCTCTCGTGGGACTTCATGCAAGAAATGCAAAACTAAATGACGAAAACAGAGACTAAGAATTCGAGGAAGCCTGAAAAAAGCTAATCTGGAGAGTTCATGCATAACAGCAGAATACCAGCATAAGCAGACGTTCCTCTCTTGACACATGCATTGAGGTTATAAAGCACCATCCAGTATACCATAGGCTCAAAAAGGATTGTCCAACACATTCTTTACAAAATAGGCGTATTCGACAAAGTTCATAAAACACCAGATTCGGTGGTGAATAAACGGTTCCTCAAAACAGTCAGCAAAGCCCTACAACGAATCTCTGAAATCAGTGAGAACAGTCTGAATACCCTGCTTCATAGAATATATCAATATGAGAAGAAGGATAAATCACTTTCTAAGATTAAATGACACTGCGGTCGTAACTTGACTTTCAAAAACCGACAAATCTTTCTATAAGAAAACCCAAAGGCATTTTGAGGTATGCAAGCATTAGGATTAAATTCCAATAACTCTTTTAAGAAACTTGAAGGCATTGAAATGTTAATCACCTCACTTCCTCCTTGCACAGCCACTTCAGCAGGTCAGGGTTTTTACTGTCAGCTGGATGCAAGAAGCTACAATATAGCAAGATAAGAATCAGAAGCAAAATTCAAACTGAGTTGAAGAAGGAAATTGATTTACATTCAAGAATCATAAATAACGAAGAAGCTCACTCGTTAAACTCTGTGATGTCAAGAAGACCATCTCCATCTGCATCTGATGCATTGAAATGTTCTTCCTTCCACCAACCCATGTCATGCTCAAGAGAACTAGCATCTGGGGCAGGCAAACACGTATCAGCAAGAGGCATATGTTGTTGGTCGCAGTAAGAAATGCAAAGACTTGCATGGCATGATGAAATATGCTACGATAAACACTGGTACCAAGAAAACCACAGAGTGGCAAGGATTTCGACAGAATCAACTGTAAGCCACGATAAAGCACCGATTCGCAGGAAGTGAGCAGGGTGGAAGCATCAGGGGATACTTCAAGTTGCGATCTTTAAACTAAACGAAAAGGCTGAAAGAGGGAAAGCAAGGAAGAATCACCTGAATTGGCAGCCCAACTGGGGGGATCGTACTCTGAAAAGGAAATAAAGCCATCATGATTCTTGTCATGAACATCCATCTCTCTTTGAGTACGGTGCAAAACCTCCTTCTCGGCCTGTTTTAAATTCCATTCCGTCAGCTCATTCTCGGTCACATACCCATCAACGGGCGCCACGTCAATCTTGGGGAAAAGCTGCTGCAACCTGCCACGAAACACCCGTTTCATTGTTCACCATGGGAATCAATTCAATTTCGACTGGCATTGTACGAATTAAACCCTTACCTGCTGGTAACATTGAATTTCTCCTCATCGTTCAAGTAGTCCTCGGCCTCCACGAAATCCTCCCACTCCGGCTGGGACTCGTGGCCAGGAGCTTCCGTTGTCGCGGAGTGGGTATCGTTGGCGGCGTCGGGATGGGAATGGGTGATATAGTGATGCTCCCACCGGCGATCCTCGAGGCGGCGCTCAATCTGGGTCACGACGGGGTCAAAGGGGATTGAGTCGTGGTGGGGGTGGGGATTGTTGAAATTGAAATTGGACCTGAGCTTGAGCCGGCGGTGGGTAGAAGGCTTCTTCGGAGCATGGGAGAGCAGCATTAGGAATATGAGACATAGGGAAACGTAGAGGATCACCGAAGTTTTCCCCATCGCCGGAGTCCGAGAGAAACAGAGATCTATAGTAGGAAATACCCAATATGTCCTTCCGCCACAAGAACCAAATGCCCTGATCGCTAAATCAGCAGGAACGGAATCCGAGAGATTGAGGGAAACCGGAGGAAGAACAGATCTGGTAATTGGCGGAGTGACAAGAGGTTGAGGATGACTACGAGTGAGTTGCCGGTTTCTTGTTAGTTAAGAGGAACAGTGCGATTAGGTCACCGGAGACGGAAATGAAGAAGGAATGGGATATAGATTATTTGAGATTGCAGAGGGGGAGGAGGAGGACGAGAATGGGGAAGACGCCGGCGGTGAGGATTGTGGAAGCCGTGTCCCCCTTATTCTTCTCCTCTCCCAAACTGAAAGCGAATAAAATAATGAGTAAAAAATGATGAAGAAAGAAAAAGCTAAAAGGATGAAATAATAACAGGGATACAGACAGGAGGTAAATTCGGGTCAATTACCAGAATCGGTCACTGAAGTTTTAAGTTTAGTAAAGTTCGGCACTAAATTTATCGTGTGATAGTCATTTTGTCCATCTTGCGAGGTCTTCGAGTGAATGAGTCTAATGTGTCTGGCTGGGAAAATTAGGGGTGTTCAAACGGTGTGGTTACCATGGTAACCGTTTAACCATCTACACATAATATAATACGCCGAAAGGAAAAACGGGAGCCCCATTTCAAATTTCCTGCAACGAGAGTGAAAGTAGGAAGGACATTTTGGTCTTCACAATACATTTTTTTTTTTCATTAAAAAGACACATACTGGGATTCGAACCATGACCATTTTAAAGAAAAGCAAGGATAATAACCAATCACAATAAGCACATTTGTTGTATCTTTTTAAATTAAAAACATATAATAGCAGGGAGGAAAAAACCCTTCCCCCATTTCAAATTCCCTACTCCATGAGCGTTTGTAGGAAGGGTAGAATAGGGAGTGTCAATTATTTTTCTCTTTCCTCTGTGGAACGGGCCAACTTACCCGTACACATGTGAATTTAAACGGGTCCAGGAGTGTCAATTTTTTTTTCTTTAAGCCCTTTTATTTCTCCGTGGTGACAAAATATATATGAAAATGTAAAAATAATACTCATTTTTATTGTTAAAAATAAAATATTTAACAATAAACTAATGCATGGTATCTAATGGGCTAACCGCCAACCATAAAATAAAAGAGTTGAATGTGCCTGACCTACATGGGATTTGGCCATCAAGTAAAATAAATGAACATCATTGGTTTGTCATTCTAAAATAAGCTAATTTCTCTGACATAATATATATTATGCTATTATTTTATATCTTAGTGGCTAAAATATAATGTATTTTAAAGTTATTCAATGGTTCAACCTCGACCAACACAATTAGTCCAATTTTTATCATTTCAAATATATATTTTATAATTATTTGATATCATAATGATCAAATTATAGTGTATTTTATAGGGAATCGTTTGGTATTTGTTAGTAAAAAATTAAACATAAAGATCTATTTGGTTATTTTAAACATTATAACGATCCTAAACATTTTCAGTTCCTTTTGAATTTCTATGATTTTATTCCCGAATAAGTGATGTACAAATGGCGAATTGTAGTCGTCTCTTTTCTTTCACTATTTTTTATTTTCAAATAGAAAGTTTAAAAGTAAAGAATAATTAGAATTTGGCATGGGTCGTCAAACAGGCTGAATTTCAAGTTTTGGCCCGTTTGTTTTATGCATTGCAAATTTATTAGCATTTTGATGGAAATGGCTTGGAAAAAAGACATATAAGTTGTACCTTTGCAGAAATGTCCTCAAATGTTTTAATGCTTTGTGAATCAGGTTCCGTGACTTTTGTGATGGTGTATGTGCTTGACAATTGCTCGATGTTATAACTGCTTAATTTGAGAGTAAATCTTTTGATTTTCCCTATGAGTTGTGATACCAGTTCTGGTGGTTGCAGCATGTTGTCGTTGTTGGCCTGTAAAAGTTGTTCCGCCGTGGTGCTAAATACCTTTCTTTCTTTTTTAACAAATTGTGTAGTAGTGCTATGAAACAGACCACCCATGAACGCTACGCTTATTATGGTCTGTTCTTACTTGCGGTGGTGAGAAATTGTGAATTGAGAATCATATTCGCCTACCGCACTGTGTCTGGCTGGTGGCTACTTACTCTCTAGAGTTATGAAACAGACTACCCATGAACGTTTCCCTTAAGTGTCCATAACTTTTGCGAAAAACCAAATTTAGGCAATCAAAGGTGGTGGATGTGTGATGATTTTTTATGGCTTAATTGTTTGTGAATTGGATATTTGATCTTTGTATGATTGGATGGGATGTTTGCTTAATAGAATAATCCATTTTAATTCATGTTTATTTTTAACATGAACTTTAGTAACTCAAAACCTTCGAGACACATATCACCTACTGCATTGTATCATTTTGCCTGGGTGCTTGCTGTGTTGTCAAACTTCTTTGTTGCTGCTGCTGCTTTTACACTAACAGGGGAGTTAAGAACCCATGAATGTTTCCGTTTGACACAAACAGGAGGACTTGCTTCTAAATCGTGCACTAAAGATGATTGGAGGAAACATCTCTATTGCAGTTGATATACTGGAGACCAGAACAAAAGCAATGTATAACATCAAAACCAACCATCTGAACTATTAGCATTGTTGCTTTACTATTTTTTTCGTGGTTGAGTCTCCTTCAAAAAATTTAGTTTGATTTTAGAAAATTTTGCTTCTGCAGTCCTGTCTTGCCACCAACGCGTTCAGTAGATGGAGATGGCAGAGGCGAAGGTTATTTTTGTGTTGTTGTTGCTGGTTTAGGGATCGGTTTGTGAAGAAGAGGGAGAAGAGAAGGGGAAAGGGAAATGCAGGAGAGGGGGGTAACTCTTTTCTCTGACAAAAATGGAGTGAAGAAAGGAATTATGATCAGTAAGGATATGGTTATCTTACATAACGGTCTCTATTCTGTTTGAATTGAGCTTGGGAGGCAGTGATAAGGACGAGCTGCAACCAATTCATAGTGAGAAGAGAGCTATGAACTGTGATCATGTCTTATTTCAAGTTAGAAGGTAGTTTCAGTATAAGGATTATTTAATTTGACAAGTTGTTTCGTCCATGATTCTTGGTAGTTTCAGTGCCATTCTAGCCATTGTTTAGTCTGTAATTTTTGAGAATTGATGTGCGAGTAATGACTTTCACTTAGCTTCAACTATTATGTGTGTATTTATTGGCATGTGATAGAAATCTCTTTTCCTTTTCTTTGAATTCAGTTTCATACTCTAATTGTATCATTTGTACATAGGCAAATCATGCTCGAGATGACAACTCGCTGATAAGGCTGGTGCAAGGAACGGAGCCATCATTAGAATTCAGACCGACAACGGGGAGGGATGCCCAGGACTAATTCAATGATGATTGATGATGGTATAATAAAAACTGCAGTCTGCATCAACACCAATTTCTAGGCCTAAGTAAAGTTATTCAACCCAGAACTCTGCTTAGCGCTAAAAATTTCCCTCACCCAACCTTGATCCTGTTTGACCCACTTCTGAAGAGTCAAGATATATGAATATGACTAATCCTCTCCGTTCATATTTTCTTATTGACTCTTTCTGACCCTTTAGGTTGGGGCGGGTCGGGAAGAATCAGATTAGTGGGTCGGTCCTAATCAAGTGGAATCTCAATCCCTTCACTCTCACTTGCTTTCTCTCCTATTCCACAAGTGGGTAACATAGAGTAATCCGGCCAACGGGCCGGGTAATAGGCTAGTTACTATTTGGATAATTTGGTTTGATTAATTTAGATAATTGGTTTGGTTTGGTTTGGTTAAAGTTTTTAGCTTGTTTGGTTTAGGTGGTTTGGTTTCAGACACTACTAACCAGCCAAACCAAATTAACCAGATAAATAATTAATCATATATCTAATATATACACATACTTATACTTTGAATAACCACTCAAGAGTTGAACATTCATCCCTTTTAGACATAAAATATAAAGCTTGATATTGTTCCATAATGTATATTTGTATATGTAGAGTGTAGACCACAACATATGAAAGCTTAATTTAGATAAATCTCATACATTATGTTGGATGAAAACTTGAAAGCAAGGTCCTTTTCAGCCTATGAAAATTGCTAAAAGACTAAGCCAATTCAAACAAACCCAAAAATTCATTAACCCATACCATTGTGATAAATTTTTGTTAGGTGAATACTTCTATACTAACCGTAAGATAATTGTCTTAGTTGCATGCATTTATATTAAGGGTCAACTATAACTATGTGATGATTGTTATGTTTTATTCATTATATAAATTGTGATTTGATAAATTAATCGAAATTTTCTCACTTAATGATAATGTGATTTTATATTGGTTAATCTGGTTAACCAATTAACCAAACTGATTAAACTTTCATTTGGTTAATTTGGTTGTTGTATTAGTTTGGACGATTTGGTTATGATATTGTATTCCATGGTTAATGAAATTTAGCCTTATTTGGTTTGGTTATAACCATTGTAATCATTTGAACACCCCTAGGGAAAATAGACCAGACCATCTGAAAAATCATGGTCCAAACCGTACCGGATAGTTTGGTTCAGACCGTAGACCGTTAAATAGAGGTGGAGTTTTGATTAACGGTTTTTGGTTAACCGGTCGATTAAATCGATAACTGATCGGTTATCCACTAATCGGTAACCGATATAACCAAAATTTGGTCGGTTATCGGAGGCTAGACGAGATATTTTTGGTCTTGGAGGGGGCTCGGTTAACCGATAACCGAGATGATCGAAGTCTATTTCAGGCGGCTGTCGGTAAGGGGGGACGGTTGTTCGGTTAACCAATAATTGACCAGTCGGTTATTGGTTATAACTGAACTAACCGAAACTCCACCCTACCATTAAATATGATCTCCATTATATGATCTTTTTATCTTTTGGTCTGATCTGGTTTGGTCTAGCCGTGATTTATCGGACCAAATCATTGACCCAGCCGACTTCTCAATACATGTTAGCAGCCCACTTGACCACTTTCCCAACTCCCACAACGATACCCAAGTCTCAATCTTAATTTTTAGAATCTCGTCCCCTCCTTCATTCACAACTACATTTCACCAAAGAGTAAAGATGATTGTGTCTCCATATGACATTATGTTAATGTTAATGACGTTATGGTGTAAGTCGGGATGTTTTGGCTTTGTATCTAATTTATTGAGATTTATGGTGTCAAAATTAATCATGCATGTTGAAATTCATGTTTTAAGGCAAAAAAAAAATTATTGGTTAATTGTAAATTTTTTGTGTGGTTGACTAATCAAATTGTTCATTTTTCGTGGAGTGTGGTCAATCTAGACAAACCCGTACCGGACCAGACTGCACAGGTGTGGTCTGATCTGTGGTCTATACCTCAACCTCTCGGTCTGGACCATAGACCGTATATATGGTCCGGCCTGGACCATATCGCACCGTTTCCCAGCCCTAGTGGCTGGTTGTGTCTCATATTTTTTTGTTCCGCTAATGATTCTTACCTATTTTTACAGGTCTCCGTTTGAGAGTGAATTTGGTTGGTGTTCTTAAAACTTATCAGGAGTTGAGTGGGCAAAAGGTGAATTTATGTAAGTCAACGATTTGTTTTAGTTGCAACCTTATTGTGAAATGAGTGTGAGCACTTAGGCAATATTCTTGGCATAGGGCCATAGGGATAACCGATTTAGTACCTTTGTAACACTCTAACCCGGCCGGGTACTAATTTTACTAAAATGCCCTTGAAAAATAAAATACTCAAATCTTAAATTGCAGTGGGAAAATTTTCATAAATAAATTTCTGAAAACACACTTTTGAGGTTGAAAGCAATGCCCTAACACGGGGTCAAATTAAACTCAAACTTTAAAATCTCAATCTAATCTCCAGTCTATACTCATAATCATAAAGTATAATAACTAATTCATCTCAAATGATGTTGCTGACTGATAACCTTGACTAGACATCCTCTGTGATGCTTGCACCGTCCTCCTCCAGCTAGTTTCCCTCGAAGCGTCTCTCTAACTACTCATCCAGCTTTTCCTCTTCAAACTGGTGAGTGAGTTGGGGTCAGTCTACGCCCTTACGTTTAAAATTTCTAATACTTGATCACTTTACTTAACATGGTGGAAGTTGTTTTGTACTTCCACTATTAAAATCTTCACTCTGAAAACTGAAGGGGAGTTAGTTTTACCCTCCATTCTTAAATCTCAAATCTTGACTTAAATACTTGGCCGACACGGGGATCCCTCACTAGCTAGTCTGGTTGCCGAACTCATACATATGAGAAGCCCTCCAGGCTTTCCTTAAACTTAAACTTATCGTGGAAGGCTCTTCTTCCACGATTCTCAAGAGCATAACTGTTGCTCATCTTAAAAGTCTCAAGAGCATAACTGTTGCTCTATCTTAAAAGTCTCAAGAGCATAACTGCTGCTCTATCTCAAAATCTCAAATGACAACGGACTGACGCTAGTGACTAAAAACTCTGTAAACGGTTTCACCTTCTTGAAAGTGAAGTACTTCTTAAAAGAAAGCTTGTTCTTAAACTTCAATTATTTTTAGATAAGGGTGATATAGGTTACTTGTTTTTGTTATTAGGTACTACTGAAGGGATTCGAACCTGGGACCTCCAGGTTCATGGTCAGTGGTATTACCACTATAGGTGTCAATCGGGCGGGTTCGGGCGGGTTCGGGTCGGGTTCAGTCGGGTCGCGGGTTAATCGGGTTGCGGGTCAAGCGGGTTCGGGTTGATCGGGTTGCGGGTTGATCGGGTTGAGGGTTGATCGGGTTGCGGGTTGATCGGGTTCGGGTTGATCGGGTTGCGGATCAGTCGGGTTACGGGTTGATCGGGTTGCGGATCAATCGGGTTCGGGTTGATCGGATTGCGGGTTACAACAGGTCGGGTTGCGGGTTGTTTGGTCCAAACAATCGAATTTTTTTTATAATTAGTTATTACACTAATTTAAAACAAACTCACCGATCACCATATTGCAATGAAAAACACATGAAGGTACTTTATTAAACAAATGAGTGACTAGATTTTGCTTGAATATATCATAAACAATTTTGATGTTGCTAGTTGTCGGTACCTTGTAGAGGATTCATTAAGGTTACAGAACCAACATAAATAAATAGTTGAACAACAAGAAATTAAAAAGCTAACAAATTGCTTGATCATAAACATATGAAACCATCTCTTGAGTCTTGATAGTTGAGAGTTGAGACCATTACATAACATTTAAGCAAATATAATGAAGGAAATACAATAAAGTACATAAGGCTCCATTAATCTTGAAGATTTCCCTTAGTGCACATTTTAAGATGCCTCCACAGTGAAACTGTCCCATTCTTATTGGGATTGCTACCTGTAACAATTACCAATTTTTTTTGCACAGCATTATGGCTTACAAAGATTTCTGTATCAAAGAGCAAAAGCAATCAGAATTCAGAAACCACAAAAAATGCAGCGACTTCAAGGACACATTTTCTATAAGTTTCAAATCTAGGCTTGGTAACATAAATCAGTCATGAAACTGTAGTTCAAGTAGAAGTGAGACTCAACAAACTACAGATACACAATCCCAAAAACTAGCAGCCACTGAATCATCCCAAAAATCAGTTGTGAAACTATAATTTAAGTAGTGGTATGGTTTATCATAAGAACCACGACTCACAAATAGTTTATCATAAGAACCACAGCCGACGATAGATCCATGAATGCTGAAAGAATTCACATTTTTATTATCTTACAAACCAGAATATTTTTCTTACTGCCCACTAATACAAAAATTATAAATACTTATAAGGTTGAACAACTTACAATTACAACTTTCTTAAGTTTCACTGGTGGAAAGAGCTACAAAGCTGACACCTGCAACACAAGAGACAGAGGCCACCATTTTGAGGCCACCAAGTAATCAATTAGAACTATAATAAGCGAAACACTTTTTGTGGCCACTAATTAATCAATCCCAAACTTCTAAAAACAGTTAAGGGTTGAAGGCATCGCACCAAACGGAGAGAGGGTTTTGGGGACGGTGATGAGCAACGGTGGTGGTGGGAGACCTGAAGTCAGTTTGAAGAGGCGAGGAGGTGCAGGCGGTTTGCTGGATCCAAAAGAGGGGTGGACAGAACCCTTCCTCTGCTTGGAAGGCCTCCAAGAAAATCAACCCCCTAGGCTGCGGTAACTGTAAAGGTTCAGAGCATGCGATAGAGAGGTGAAGCACGCCAGGATGGACGGTGACGAAGAAGCGAACTGACGGGCAGGAACAAGGAAAGATATGGAGAGGGATATCGGGAAAATTTCATATCTGAAGAGGTAGAAACTAGAGATGGTGGTTGGGGAACCGAGGATTGCGTGTCAAATTAGAGTCGCCTGAAACGGGTTGCGGCAGTGAAAGGGTGAGAGGGTTTCTAAAGAGATAGGCAATCGGCGATTGAGAAGCGGCCGCAGCGATGGCGAGAACAAACAAAGTGGTGGCCGGTGGTGAATCGACAGGGGAGAAGGGGAGGAAACAAAACTAAACTGATCGAGTTATTTTTTTCTTTTTGAAATAGAGTTTGCTTTGATTGTAGCGGCAAGCCGACAACCATTAATTCATTGTTTCATTTTTGGGGGGAATTGTGAAACTGAAAAGGAAAGAAGGCGCGTCTATTTGGGAAGTTTTGGAGCCAAACAAAATTTGACGGCCAAAAGTCCAAAAAGTATTCCCTCCAAAGATAATTTTGGAGGCAAATGAAATTTTCCCTCTTCAAATTTGGGGAAAGTTTTTTCAAGTCTACATTGTTCACGGAAACAAAAATTAATCACGGAAAATAAAAATTAGAAAATAAACAAATTAATTCCCGTGACAAGAAATATATAATTAATTACAGTAAATTTTCTTGTGATGGTTAGTATACTTCTTAGTACGGTAACGGTTCCCGTGAATGAGATACCGTGACTGAAAACCAATTTTCCTGTAGTGTTGCATTCAAAAAATTTTCATAAACATCTAGTTCTTCCTTTCTTTGATATTTATTATTATAGATGGTATATTTTATACCGATTAACTAGTTTGTTGTTCGATCCGTTGGTCGGAATGTCATTTGAATATGATATATTTAAGATGTACATTCACAAGTTAAACTAATTGCTAAAATCAAATTAATTAATAAACTATAAAAATCAATATCCAACATAAAGCATAACCATGAATAAACCCTAAACCCTAACCCTAAACCCTAACCCTATACCCTATACTATAGTTATATGTTATGAAATTGTTAGCATAAGCTATAACGTATGTTATGTGAAGAATGTAAGTTGAGTCAATTTTATATTCGGTTATTGAGAAGAACATACATCCTATGACTCCAAACTCTATGCCACGAGTCCACTACCGTATACCCTATACGCTAACCTTAAACCATGAACTATAGTTATGTGTTATGAAATTGTTGGTATAAAGTATAAACTATAACGTATGATACGTAAAGAATGTTAGTTAAGTCAATTTTGTATTCAGTTATTGAGAAGAACATACGTCCTAATCCTACGAACTCTAAACCACGAGTCCACTACTGTATACCTTATACATAATAGTTAGTAAATACTCCATTTAATAGTAAAGTTAATAATTCATTTCATTAAATACGGATATTAAACGTGTTATTTTATTGATTTATTTATAAAAGTAATTAGTTTTATATATTTATAACTATTAACGTACTATTTACTAAGAGACAAAGTATAATACTCGTAAGTATTTTATACGTAACTTTCCCGTACCATGCTATACATTAAGTGAATTTTATGTATACGTTGACATAAAATAAATTTTAAGGATGGTCTAACTAAGTTGTGAACCATTAATATTACAATCTAACTTTTTATTTTAAAATTCAGTTAACAAAAACATGTTAAAAGAATATGCCTCTACTAGGCTTTGAACCATGTACCTTGAAGTGGAAAGACCATCACAAAAGCCAACTAGTCCACATAATTAGTTTGTTACAATTCGAACTTGTTGTTACTTGGTTCAACTGAAAGGCAGAGAGACCAGAAAATTAAAACGAATCCCTAATACCCTAAGTCCCTAACCTCTCGTCTATCATCCAAGACAGTGAGACTATTATGTGATTTAATTAAATGGCAGTTTTTATTTGTTAACACAAAGTAAACCTTTGTTATTGGTGGGAAAGATGAAAATATAATGGGGCAAGTCACGTAAACTTTATATATTATCTACATATAATATTTATGCACAAAAATATATTATGTAGTATTATTCGTGCCAATCGGGCGGGTTCGGGTTGGGTTAATCGGGTTCGGGTTAGTCGGGTTACGGGTCAAGCGGGTTGCGGGTCAACCGGGTTGCGGGTCAATCGGGTTCGGGTCAAGCGGGTTGCGGGTCAAGTGGGTTGCGGGTCAAGCGGGTTACGGGTCGGGCGGGTTGCGGGTCTTTGACTTTTAGTCCAACCGGGTTGCGGGCGGGTCGCGGATCGGGTTGGTTGGGCGGGTTACTCGGGTCGGGTCATGTTTTGACACCTATAATTACCACTAGACCAATTCCTTGTTCGTTTCTTAAACTTCAACTTACTTATAAATAAAACACGCATTATAATATGCATAACTGGAAGCATAAATCACACGCAATCATATGCATCAGCTAAACACACAAAGGCAAGTATAGCACATTGCAGTCAATCTCAAAAACTAAAATGCCGTAAGGCGTAGAATTTACCCCCTTTACACTCACCTTATTTCCGGGTTGGTTGAATTTTGAATTTAGCTCGAACTTAAGTACATCAGCCGTATGAGATTGATCGGTCAACTTTATGAACATCCCTTTTGTTATGGACTCCACGACGTCCTTTGATTTGGTCGATATTCCAAGCTCTTGGTACGTAGAAGATCGTCCCAAAACACTTAATTTCCATAGTTAGTATATGTGAGAAACACTCAATTGGACTATCTAACACTCATAATCTGATAATTAAATCCATAGCTAGTTCCCCTCCTATTCGTTGCACAAGACCAGTAACCCATAATAAGCTAGCTAACTAAGGTAAATTGGGTAATTTAACCTTTGCTTTTACCCGATAGAATTCTATCAAAAATACCATATCCATGTTAGCTAATACTTTCCACGACTACCCACCGCTCCGCAAGCATTCCCCCATGTACACGTACACAATTTCCATCCAAACCCCCTCAAATATACTCGATCAGTGGACTCAATTGACAATTCCACCCGGCAATTAGCTCCAGTATGAGCACCTACCCACGTATACGCGCGCATGCAGAAACAAGGTCGGGAAAGATTTATTGCCATACCTCGACCATTAAGTGCCCTTCTTCTTCCCGACTTCATCTTCTTTTTTTTTTTTTTCCATCCCTACGGTGGCAACAGGAGTTGGAAAGCCTGCTATTGCTACTGCTAGCTCGGATCGCAAGGGGAGATGCAGGTAGAAACATCAAGAGTGGTGCGGCTGGAGGGCTTTGCAGGGACAAGTGACTGCCGGTGCCGTGGTGCTGGCATGGGCCGAAGACAAGTGGAGTAGACCGGCGGACGTGGGGACGAGCAGTGACGACTGCTATTGTGCGCGAGGGAAGGAGGAGTGTGCTTTCTGACCATTTTATGTCTTTTTTTTATCTGTTTCTTTGTTTCAAACTTTAAACGATCACCTAGCTTGGTTTCAGTAGGGTGCAAGGAAAGGAGAACGACAGGGTGCATCGGGTGGTTTGGAAAGTGCATTGACTTATCAAACATTAGGGGGCACGGGATGTCACTCCTTTGATCATTTTGGTCAAGCTCTTCTAACAAAGTTGGATGGTGAAAAGGGGCCCTTAAGTGTTTTATATGATCAAATATGGAAACTACTTGACCGCAAATATTTTTAGACGGTCGGATCCTCAAGTTAAGGTTGAGGTGACTTTCTTTTACATATATTGGATTTTGGGAGAAGGTGTGGATTCTACATATCGTCCCTAAGCTACATGTCGCATCTCCTGCTTCGTCTATGTCCTACAAGGGTGACACTCTTATCTAGGGTTGTTTGTGGCAAATTTATGCTCCATCTTCCAAGAGGACAAGGAGGAGGAGTTCGAACGCCTCTTCTTCGATTTTTCACATTGTGTGTGGCTTGTGGAGGGTTTTTGGCTTATTGGGGCTTTTGTGTTCAGGTTTTGTAGGATACAACATAGTTGGGGAAGAGGAAGGGTTGTGGCATCGATGGCTCGTGTCTATGCGAGGATTGATGAATCGTTTGTCGTTGAGTTGTTGGCATTTCGTGAAGCAGTCCACTGGAGTTGCGGAAAGACATTAAGAAAGAAGATCACCATTTAGAATTGTAGAGAAATTATTAGTTGATTTTCTGAATTCGTGTTGGCTTTTATACAAAGCTGGAACTATATCACAGGAAGAAGAGGTGGAAAAAATAAAGAATTAGTAACAACACAAAGTGGGTTTGGTTTGTTTCAACCGAATGTTATCCTAACTACTAAAGTAACTAACATGATTTGCTTCCTAACAAACGGAATCCGAGTCTTGGAGAGTATAATAATCGTTGTTCATATTGCCTTTCAACTACAACGAATAATCATATTCAAATCAGGCCTATCTAGCCTAATTTTGACTATAGCTGATAATCGGTTTTAATATATTGAATTCTTGGACTTTATGTGATTATCTCATGGTATGTTTTAGTCAATTGGTGCTATTTTATGGTTCGTTAACCCGAGAATGGTTGAAAAACCATTACTGCCTAGTGCCATGAGTTTGATGTATTACAGGTGAAGAAAGCACGAAAAAAGAGCAAGTGCACAAGCAATAAATCGGGCTCGAATTACTGGTGGACTACTCACTTGAGCTCAAGGCCCAGAGGAATTAAGAGAGGAAGCGGACAAAGTCTTTGGGCTTGGCAATTAATTGGGGAAGACTGGAAGAGTGGAACGAGGGCAAAGAGGAACGAATTGGAAAAAGAAATTCTTGGGCCAGGGAATTTTGTTGGCAACGAAATTGATTGGGTGGGGGGATTTTTATAGAGAAGGAAGCAAAATTGGGACGGGGAGTGAATTAGAAGGGGGGAAAAGAAAGAGCAGCTGGCGGAAGGAATTCTCTGGGAGGCGGAAATCCTTGGAGAAAAAGGGAACAGGCGGAACTTTATTCTTTTGACAGGAGAGCTGGTGATCGCGCGCGACAGGAATTAAAATTGGGCGGCGAGTTATTCTGGGAAAGAGGCGCAGCGACGAGAAGGAAGGAAAGCGAAGGGCGCAGCGCACGGAGCAGCAGTGCGATTGAGAATTTCGATCGATTTTTCCAAGTGGCTTGAGCTGAATTCAACAAGAGCGATTAGTTGGTTGGATTTTCTAAACCGAATTAGTTGTTTCTTGTTGATTTAGAACATGATGAACAAAACCTTAATGTTTTATCTTAATTTCGTCATGAACTAAACCCCGATTTCTGGGGGAAACACCATAGGATGTAGCTATTTCTTGATTTGATGGATTGATTTATGATTCTTTTCTTCCAATCTCTATTGCATGAAATTGCTTAATGCTTTGTGTTGACTGGCCACCAATACATCGATTTGTAGTTGATTAGGTTATTAGCGACAGTGAAACCCTATTAACTGAACCTATTTCATGTGACATAGTAACTTATCGAAGCGGCAGTGGATTAAATAAGGTGCTATGCGGTCTTAAATAGGATATCGATCTTCAAGCTAAATAATTAATTCATTGAGCTACGACAGTAGGATTTGAATTAATTGTTTAGTACGTAATAATTCCCGAAAGGGATAGCTAGCACATTCGTGATATCTTGGCTGTAGAGGTATGTATTAAATTGATTGGAATATGTGAATTAATCTGGATAGGATAGGTAGTGAATCCCGATGTTTCTCCCAGAGCTTTCTCCCATTGAATTAAACCCGACCAATTCAATTTGCTTGTTTTGTTTAATTACTTTGCTATTAGATCATAGTTTCATCTCATTAAACATTTTTACATATAGTTTGCTCAATAAAATTGATAGAACTTAAGGTTGTACCAGTCCCTGAGAGACGATACCCGGACTTTCCGGTTTACTACGAGATAGGAAATTGGCATATACGTTTTTGCCCTATCAAGTTTTTGGCGCCGTTGCCGGGGACTGCATATCTTATTTTTATTGATTTTTGTGAGTGAACTATTTTGATTTGGGTGTTAGTGTGCAGAAGAATTTTCAGATTTATCCTCCTCGTGCATGCCTAGGAGGACGACCGGCGATTTACTGCCACTAGATCCGGAGATCGAGAAGACCTGCCGACAAAACAGGAAGCAGGTCAAGTTAGGGAAGCAGCCAACCACAACTCCTAGGCCTTCCCTAACCCATAGTCGTCGACATAGAGGACAGGCTTCATCACCTGTCGTCCCTACACCACCGACACCACCAGCTCGCGACATCGAGCCTGTCATCATGGCAGACCAGGATCGTTCGATCAGGGCTCGCTTGAACCGAAGAACTGGAGCCATGTGTTGTCATTCCGGCTGGGGATGCAACCATGGAGATTACCCCAGCATTTATCAACATGATCACCAACGGGTACACTTTCTCCGGGGCTAGCAATGAGGATTCTCACGAACATCTCCGCCGGTTCGCGAGCATATGTGATAT